ATCGAACGCATGGCAAAACTTTGCCGGCGTTGCGTTCCACAGCAAACGCAAAAATAGGGCTTTTTTTACATTATGTCATGAAACATTTATTATTACCCAATTTTTTAGGTAACATATAAAAGACGGGGTCACGTCGGGTAAATAGACACCAAATATGCCAAGCTTAAAAATGATGGGTGGATTTCAGCCTGGAGGGGTGGACGTTCCTTGGCAGGTTGTATTTGCATGTAGAACACCCACGTGTGGCGCTGACCCTCCATGATTAAAAGATCAGGGACAGTCAGGCTGGGGAGGAAAGTGCTACATGGTGATGGACGTCCTCCAGCCAGGAAATGAGGGGCGGGCTCTATCTGACTTGCGGCAGCTTCTAATGCACATTGTGAGAAGCTCCCAGTGTGCAGTGATATCAGAGGAAGAGGGGAGGAGCCGGGACAACTGTGTAGAAGATTGAAGGGGAGGACGGAGGTCAGATAGAAGACTGAAGGGAAGGACGGAGGTCAGATAGAAGACTGAAGGGGAGGACGAAGGTCAGATAAAAGACTGAAGATAAGGATGGAGGTCAGATAGAAGACTGAAGGGAAGGATGAGGGTCAGATAGAAGACTGAAGGGAAGGGCGGAGGTCAGATAAAAGACTGAAGGGAAGGACGGAGGTCAGATAGAAGACAGAAAGGAAGGACGAAGGTCAGACAGAAGGGAAGGATGAAGGTCAGATAGAAGACTGAAAGGAAGGACGGAGGTTAGATAGAAGACTGAAGGGGAGGACGGAGGTCAGATAGAAGACTGGAGGGGAGGACGGAGGTCAGATAGAAGACTGAAAGGAAGGCCGTAGTTCAGCTTTAAATTCTTGAATTTGCGGTAGTCCCCGCCCCTCCTGCACCCTTCTATTGGCTGTCTTTATGATGTACAGCCTCGCTGACCAATAGTGAAATGCGGATGAGGATCTCTGAATTTGCTGTCTGCCTATCACAGCTCCCCGGGGGTTCCGGTTTCTAGTTCTATATCATTATTTTCCATATAGCCGAGTGACACGTTTCCCTGCTGGCACGGTATATCACGAATTGCTTTCCCGCAATCCTGGCACAAGTGGGTCCATTAAGCTAATTACTGATTATTTATCTATTTATAACGCCGGCAGATGTGTGTCTTTGTCTTGAAGGAATATGAATTCCTTTATCTGCATTAAGTTGTCTTCTGCTGCCCTCGCTCCCATCACCGGCAATACAGCGACTGAACAGAGATGGAGCTCGGCGGAGATGACTGATAGACATCGGTGGGAATTAATCATTTCGAGAATCTCTCTTGCTGTGAGGGATGGATCCCTGCGGTGGCGACAGAGAAGGGAGGGCAAACACCTGACAATCCAACGCTCAGGGAGTGCAGACTCCACTCCATGAAAAACCTCTTAAAGGTGCGCTCCATTCCAAATAAAGAGCAGAGTATTGTTCTAAAGGAAACGCTCAAACGCGAAAAGTCGCCAATGAAAGGACTGCGCTGGACGGCACGTGAAACCAATCAGGAGCTGTTGATGTTACCAAGACAAAACTGTCACTGTGTTAAAGTTAGGAAGACCATTAAAGGAGAACTATGGGGTCAGGGCTTTTCCCCATAGTTCTCAGGGTAACGGGAGGACACAAACTAGCGTCCTCCCGTCATCCTAAGCTCAGTATGTAGGGAGCTGCTGCTCGCGGTATACTGAGACGCCGCAGCCGGAGCGGATCCCGACATCGACGTCGAGATCCGCCCAGCTGCGTGAGTGACAGCTGGCTCTGCCTATCTAGAGGCAGAGCCAGCTGTACCCGACCGCTCACCCCTTCCGTTCCGCCAGTCAGTGCTGGAGGATCGTAGCGGGGAGGGGGAATCCAGCCCCTCCCCTGTCACGGCAGAGAGCCGCGACAGGATCGAGAGGTGAGCGAACGCCGGTATGTGTTCGCTCACCTCCCGATCTATTGAGCCGACCTGTGACAGTCTCATTGTCACAGGTCGGCTATAACTATGAGGTGAGTGGAAATCACCCCCCTCATACTTCTCCTTTAAGCTTATTTATTCAAGGACAGTCAGCTTTCCAGGTCCTTTAATTTGCGGGCCTGCGGCCTCTTGTTACATGGTTGTGTGGTGTGCCATTTCCTGCTTGCGTTGTGTCAAAAAAGTGTAATCAGAAAGTAATCAGAAAGGGAGAGATATCCCGGCGGTGGGTATAATTGGAAAGATAGACAGGAGGTCAGGAGAAGAACATTTTGTCCCATTGGGTCATGTTGGTGGAAGTGATATCCCTGCGCTGGATGTAAACAGAAAGGTAGAGAGGAGGTCAGGAGCAGAGTATGTTCTCCCTTAAAGGAGAGCTACGAGGGGAGTGATTTTCACTCAGCCTCATAGTTCGAGCCGACGTGGGACAATGAAACTGTCACAGGTCGGCTCAATAGATCGGGAAGTGAGAGAACACATACCGGCGCTCTCTCACTTCTCGATCATCTCCCTGCAAAGAGAGATGACTGTCACTCACGGCTCCTGGCAGGGATTCCCCCGCTCCGATCCTCCAGCGCTGACTAGCGGAACGGACGGGGGAGGGGGCGGGTACAGCTGGCTCTGCCTCTAGATAGGCAGAGCCAGCTGTCACTCACGCAGCTGGGTGGATCTCTACGGTAATGTCAGGATCCGTCCCGGCTGCGGCGGTCTCAGTATACCAGGAGCTGTAGCTCGCGATATACTGAGCTTTGGGTCACGGGAGGAAGCTAGAATATGTCCTCCCGTGACCCTTAGGAGAACTATGGGGGAAAAAAACACTTACCCCATAGTTCTCTTTTAAGGAAGCACATGTTGGAAGGTGTGATATCCCGGTGTTGGGCATAATCAGAAAGGTAGCGAGAAGGTCAGGAGCAGAAAATGTTCTATCTTATGGTGGGTGGTGTTGGAATATGAGATATCCCAGTTGTGGGTATGATCAGAAAGATGGGGAAGGTCAGGATCAGAGCATGTTCTACCTTACAGTGGGTTATTTTGGAAGGTGTGATATCCCGATGTTGGTGTAATCAGAAACGTGGAGAGAAGGTCAGGAGCAGAGTATTTTTATGGTTTATAGAGGGTCATAATTGAAGGTGTGATATCCCAGTGGTGGGTGTAATCAGGAAGGTAGAGAGAAGGTCAGGAGCAGAGTG